AGAGCGCAAAATACTTGCTTGTAGAAAATCAATTATTGGCTTCAAATCTTGATCTTTTTCCTGTTCTGCTTTAATGTTTATACTTGCATCTACTTCACTATCATCAACTCCTTCAGTCACCTTGACTTCAGCTTGATGACACCTGGTTATTTCAAGCTCTCTTTTGCAGCAATGTATGCAGTCATTTTTGCAGGGTCTTTGGCTCAGTCCATCAGCATTTCCATGAGATTTTCCTTTTCTGTATTCAATATCATAATTATACTGGTCTATCTTTCCGATCCAATGTTCTTTAATGATCTTAAAGCATGGCCTGTCCTGATGGTAAACCTAGTCCCATAGAGGTAAGGATGGAAATATGTCAGACTCTTTACTATAGCAAGGAGTTCCCACCATGTTACACAGTAGTTTCTCTCTGGTCTACTCAGGACCCTACTTAAGTAGGCCACCAATTTTGACATTACAAGCATTACATTCCAGTATGTATGGCAGTGAGGGATTTGGAAGTTGAAAAGTGGAGCTGAGGCCAATTTTTCTTTCAATGTCTTGAGAGCATGCTGGCAAAAAACTGTCCATTCGACCTTCTGGCCCTTTTTTTTGTTAAATCATGTTGTGGAGCAGCTATAGTTACAAAGTCCTTCACAAACGTTCGGTAATAGGTATAGAGTCTCATGAATCTTCTTAACTCTCCCACATTGTCTGGCTAATCATGCATTGCTTTCACCTTGTCAGGATCAGTTCACACTCCATGCTCACTTACAATTGACCAAAGTAAAGCACCTCTTTCTGGAACAAGTGGCATTTCTTGGGATGGAGTTTGAGGTTTGCTGCTTTCAAATGCTTGAATACTTCCTCAGCCGGGATGTTTCCTCATCAGACGTTGTTGCAAACACAATGACATCATCCAGGTACTCTAGGGCTATCCTCCATTGTAGGTATTCCAGTACTCCTTCCATCAGCCTCTCAAATGTTGCTGGAGCATTGCTAAGCTCGAATGGCATCACATGGTATTGCCAGAGACCTTGGCCATAACTAAATGCAGTGTTAGGTTTATCTGCTTCAGCTATTTTCACTTGATGGAAACCCAACTTTAAGTCCAGAGTTTGAAAACCACCTGGTTCCACATAGGGCATCAAGAGTATCATCAATTCTTGGCAGCTGGTATGAGTCCTTTTCAGTTATCCTGTGAAGAGTCCTGAAGTCCACACAGCAACGTTGGGTCCCATCCTTCTTCTGGACAAACATGACGGGAGCTGACCAGGCCCTATCTGATTTCTCGACTATCCCTTCTTTAATTAGACCATCCATGCCCTTCTCCATCTCTTGTTGCTTTGCTGGAGCTATTCTCCTCAGAGGTATCTTTAT